TCAATTTGCGTAACCATAGTGTTTTGGATTGTACAGAGAAGTGTGAGGAATCTTCACTTCACACTTCATTCACCATTTGATGTTAAAGAATGGCGACAAACGGTTTAAACCAGTTTTGTGTGCATGTTTAAACGCGAGTAGATCAGACCAGCTATGTGCTTCGCCATTGAAGCTATGGGTAGTGGGGCATTCAAACTTCAGGCTGAGTTAGGAGTTCAGTTGTGAGTAAACTGAACCTGATGTCTTATTTTTAAAAGCGCAGGTGCCTGTATCTCTAGTTCATGTGAACGAATGTCCGTCCAAAGGTAGAGCGTATGGTGAGCTTCCATGTAGCACAGGGTGTCAGATCTCAGAAAGGAAGAACAAACGAGCCATCAAATACTTTTCATTGGAGCTTATTACTATGGTGGACGAGGGATCTGCAGGGAAGCACAGCGCAATAGTTTTGAGGGGTACCATATTGAGTGAGAAAATGGCTGTCTCTCCTATGTCATCTTTTTCAGAGAAGGGGGTGCCAACTTATTTTGAGGGTTGAATGGGCCTACATTATTTTGCGGTTCAAAAAATGCAGGCACGCTTTGTCGGAGGATACTGCGCGGTGCGCAGTCTTGCTTCATGTTTTAAGATGGGGTGACTCCTGCATGAGGCATTTGCAGCCTCTGCAAAATTAGTGTAGGCTACGCCCAATGATCTCTGTCAGTGGTTGAACCTAACACTTTTCGTAAGTCTCTAACAACTTACATGTGAGGGAGCATTTTGTAACTATAGTTAAGTTGACGTCATAGATTATTATGTGGAGTTCCCCGGATATATTCCACAACCTGAAACAAGCCGAAGCCAGACAGACAGACACTCAAAAACTGCTCCCATCGTTTTATTCTTCTGCAAATAAAGGCGAGTTTTGATACCATGGCACTGAGTGAGTGACGCCACCCATACAGCGGCACAGACACTCAAAAACTGCTCCCATCGTTTTATTCTTCTGCAAATAAAGGCGAGTTTTGATACCATGGCACTGAGTGAGTGACCCATGCCACCCATACCCCCGGGGAACACTGCTGCGTTTGCTGCCGCAACTGGTATTGCTCGTTTAGGACAAACCAAAGTACTGCGTGTAACTCTGGACATCTCAGGTTGTCGAGCAAAGTTAAAAAGCCTGAGGCTGTAACTACCAGTTTAAAGGCCCGATTACATCGCGCAACTTAACCCGATGTTAAACAAAATTTCCATGGAGTTCCGAGCAAACAAAAGACAGTTCCAGGCCTAATGCATCTTTCAAGCACGCCATATGTCACATAAGTTTAATCGGCCCGGTTTTCAAAATAGCATGTTTGGTATCTGAAACCCCTCGGTGGTGTTGGCAATCAGCGTGTTTTCTGATGACAGACCATTCTGCGCCTTTGTTATGAAAAACAGTTCTGATTTCACGGTGATTCTAGAGGACCCCTATTCGCTTCAGGCAATAGTCACCTCGAAATATAGCAATTTTAAGCTTACTGATATCATTGTATTGAAGAAATCGATCTTAATGGTTAACAAGTTCACTTTACCTGTCCAGTTTAGCTTATTTATTCCAAAAAATGTAGATTTTCCTCACAGGACACCATGCGCATGGTATCGCTGAACAACGTGCAGCTACCCGCAGGAACTTATTCGGTTCGTCATTTCGCGGAAATATATCATGATTTCTCGGATACAGTGCGGAGTGAAAGATGATACGGACATTATGCGACACACTTCGCTGAAATGTATGACAAACAAGTGAATTCCCTCAGTCTCCCGATCACCACATGGTAAGTTGAGAATGAGTGAGTTTTGCCATATTTGTTTTTATTTCCGCCAGACAATTTATTCAGATTTGCGTAGCCGTCCCAACTTCTAGAAGAACTGTGGCTATATAACCCTTTAGTCCGCAAGAGCGCTTACTGGTGTTTACTATGCGGGAAACGATCAATAGAACCTTGAAAATAAAATAACCTGGTCGCATCTCTGTATTGTGTAAACAATAAGCTCTGCGTCATTTTGGCTACAATTTGTGACGATACAGTGTGTCGTCACGCGTAAAAGGACAAGTAGAACACCCAGCAGGCCTTGTTACTATTGCTCAATGATCCGATTCACGTACCAGTTCAACGTTTTTGCATTACACCGCGGTAAACATCGAAATGGAAAACCAACATCTACGAAATTGAACAGTACGCCACCTATTCACCGTGTTTAAATGTTTACGTCATTTGTTCAGACACTGACACATTGACTAATTAGCGGCGGCCGATCACCTTATGTCAATGCCACGTCTATCCTACCAGTTTGGTGGGTGCAGCTATGCGAGGTGCCCCGAAATGGTTATATTAGCCTATTGTCTTTCACAATGTTGGTCAAATAACCTCTACTTGTGCTACACGTCATGCTAGATTTTAGCTCACATTTATCCAATAAATATGAACCAAACTCATTAAACGGCAAATCTCAACAACCAACATTACATAAATGGTAGATTTATAAATATGAAAAACAATGAGCACTTGTTGAAGTCACAATCTCAAATGACGCAATGTAGCGCCCTGATCAACCAACACCTGGTAAGTTTTTGTAGATCGATTTCGAGTACCTTGAACCCTTTGACTTTATTTCTGCGGAAAACCCAAAAGCTCCGCTACGCCTTTGATGGAAGACAATATGCACACCCCGGCAAACTCCAGAAAATGACAACATGCAGAGCATATCGGTCGGTATATAACTATTGCTAGGCTCATACGACTCCTTGATTCAGTAGCACGTAACGAAAAATTTCCATTTAGTTTCTTTCAGTAAGTGCACATCGAAAAAGCATGTATTAACACGCTAAAGCCCGCAAAAAGTAGTTCTCCCTTGTCGCAAAATTGGCGGCAAACAGTTTTGTTGCTGGGCATTTTTTATTTGAGGGCTTTGTCTGCCCCTATGTGTCGTGAGCATTCTTTCAGGAAATAGGAAAGGCCAGTTTTGCTGAATTCGAGGGAAGTTTTGTGTGCTATCTGCATCTCTCACGAAAAATTTTCAAATCGCACAATACGATTGATGCATGAGCTTCGGTGACCTTGCCGACTAAGTGTTGTTCGTGGAATGCGGCACGGCCGATTATCCGCATTTTCAAGGCGTGATATTTTGCTGCAATTAGCGAAGGCTATTTTCTTATATCTCCGGAGGAATACTATTCTTGTGAGCATTTGCTTTTGTCCTCATAACAAAATGTCTTCATGGCAGCGGTCGTATTTTCTTCCTTAATAGTTGCACAATTCAACTCCGAAACGCTTTATGCTAAGTGGACATACCACATTCCAGCAGGCTGAAATTTCAGCCCAACGCGCATAGCTATAGGCCGTGCACTAAAAGATTTGGGGGCGAACGAAATGTTGAAGTTCCAAGGAGGGTTAGTTGTGAATCCTCTCACAGGCTAGCAGAGTTCTCGAAAATCAATTAATCATGCTAAAACCTTCTGATGCGCTGAATAGACTGCAATTTAACGCAATGAACAGGCAGGTGTGCAATACAGTAAAAAACCGTACCTCCCTATTTGGTTATATTATTATCTTTTTCTCTTTCATTCTAGCCTCTTCATAGTCCCTAGGGATTTAGCTCCGAAACCCTAAAAAATCATGGCTCATTTCTTAGGCATTTACTATATTTCTTTCCGTTGCAGTTGAAGGTGGGTTGTTGTGCAGGCACAAATTTCAGTGTCTTAAGCTATTATGTGACCCAGGCAATCAATGGTGGGAGACAAAACTTTTGGTCTATTGTCTACACAGCAGTGTGTGTGAAATATAAATCTCATTTATTGAAAAGACTAATCGAATGCAAATTTTTAATTTTGGAATGGACCGGTAACCGGGAGACGGGCAGGCATCGGCGATGGATTGAATCTGCGTTTCAACTTTCAGCCAGGCAAGCAGTACAAGTCCTGAATGTTTTTTTAAATGACGGGGAAACCTAGCGTACACGACGACGAAGTTATGCTTATTTGGGTAGCTGGTAGTCCCCTAGGTTAGTTAGTCCTGCCTTGCGATACTCTCGGATCAATGGAGGGTCCTGATATGGAGCGACCCCGAGGATAATATATTTTCTAGGTCTTTGTGGTGAATCGCTGTGTGAATACGATCCTTGTGACGCCCCCAAAGAAAAAGAAAAAAGCGGGAGCTGATGAAGATTGAAACCAAAATGTCCCTCGGAGTTTCCCTGGAGGGCATCTGTGTTGGCTCAACAAGTGCCTACTCTTTCGTAAAGCAGAAATATCGCTGCACCATGCACTCAGTATTTGGCTCACCTTACCAGCTCGCCTTCAAGTGTAAAGAACGTAATATAAGCTTGAAACAAGCAGGCATGATGTGATCTCACGGCGCCAACCCTGAAGATAAGGGAGTGGCGTGAATGAGAGGTGCCGGCGCGTACATGGGAAGATTGGCCAATAGTAAAAGCAAGAAATCACATTATCAGAGTGTGTGTGATAATTAGAATAGTGGTAGGTATCTTAACTACCGAATGTACGCGTAGTATAGAAGACCGAATATGGACGAATGAATATCGTATATTCTCGAATATCGCGGGCGTACTATAAATCGCATCGCGAAACAAAAGCATATAAAAATACACTAAACAGAATGAATAGAATAGAGTCAATGTTCACCACATCCACCACACGTTGAATGAGCGTGCAGGTGTTTATAGTCTCTAATAGGTTGGAACCTCAAACGTTCAGAACTTCTCAACGTCGGATTGTCAGGTTTAGTGTTTGTTTCATGCTCATCAGAACTATCTGTAAGAGAATCAGAAAGGTCATTAGTGTTTGAAGCAACAGACGTATTGTCGCCAAACTGACCTCTAGCATTGAATTCGACCTGATCAACATGCCGTCTGTGACTTGAGAGATCTTCGAGGTCAAGAACCGTGACCATACGATTCCCGTTCCTCCCAATAACAACACCAGTAGATGGACGTAGATCGTTACCCTTGAAAAATGTTACGTCGGCAGTCCCAATGCATTCCAGGTTCGTGCGTAAGGATCTCGACTTGAATAGCTCTGCTGGACTCTTACCAGTAATTGAATGAGCAGCATTCCTGTACTGCATCAAGAAATTATCAATACCTCGATCAAGATCATGAAAAGTAACAGGGGAAATAGAATTGATGGCAGATTTCAAAGTTCGAACAAAATTTTCAGCGAGTCCATTAGACTGTGGATGACGGGGAGCAGTAAATAAATGACGACAACCAAGTCCTTTTAACCAATATTCGAGAGATTTCGCTGTGAAGTGTGAGCCGTTATCAGTGACCAAAACAATTGGTACACCTTCACGACTAAATAGTTTCCTCAAAGCATACTGAGTAAACTCAGAACTCGGGGATGTCGTGAGAAATACTTCCGTCCAGCGTGAATAGGAATCTACAACCACCAGTGCATAATATTTGTTCAAAAATGGACCGCAATAATCTGCATGAATGCGTTGCCATGTTTCACAGGACAATGGCCAAGGAATCCATTTGGATGATTTGGAATGAATTTTGTGTGTACAGTTCATACAATCCTTAGCCGTACGCGCAATGTCTGCATCCAACTCTGGCCACCAACAAGTAAGTCTGGCAAGAGACTTCATTTTGTCGATGCCTAGATGTCCGGAATGCAAATCGGATAAAATGGCACTTCTGTGTGTTGGTGGAATCACGACACGATCGTTATAACACAACAATCCATCAGGTGTCAATGCTAAACTGTCTCGACGAGCATAAAATGCGGGAAATCGACGACGTTCTTGGTGCGTCCATCCTCGTCTTAATGCAGAGATAACGGATGAAAAGTATTTTCGGGTATCACGCACAAGCTCGTCTCGTTTAATCGGAAGCGGTTGTACTAACAAACAATCAGAAACATTAGATTGTGATAAACTTTCTGGAACTCTGGATAGATAATCGACGTGCTGAATGGATTTAGCACCACGATGAATAATGTCATATGTATACGAACTGAGAGCGATGCTCCAACGTTGAACCATGGCTGCGGATGACTTAGCCAATGATTTCATAGGATGGTATATGAATTTCAAGGCTTCATGATCGGTCACAATCGTGAATGGTTTACCAAAAAGATACTTGTGTAGTCTACTTACACCCCAGTAGACAGCAAGAGCTTCACGCTGTGTTTGAGAATAGCCCTGTTCGGCTTGTGTTAGTCGACGGGATGCACAAATGACAGGACGGCCATTTTGTTCGAGAATAACACCTAATCCAGTTGGAGACGCATCAGTTATAACGGTTGAATGATCTTTCGCAGAAAATGGTTTCAAAATAGCGTCAGATTTAAGATAATTGAGTAAAGAACGCAAAGTTTTCTCATGCTCAGATATCCATGAAAATGTTTTCAGAGATAACAGTTCAAATAGACAATAAGCTTTCTGAGAAAAGTTAGGTATGAATCGGGAATAATATTGCAATGCACCAAGTATGGAACGAAGTTCGGACAGATTAGAAGGGGATGGAGCATTGACTAAAGGCGATAAACGTTCATTATCAGGAGAAAAACCATTTCCATCAACAGTGTAGCCTAAACATGATAGTTTGTAAACAGAAAATGCACATTTCGAAGAATTAACGGCAACATTTAAGTCATGAAATCTTTTGAATAATGCAAGCAAGCGTGAATCGTGCGTAACCTTATCGACAGCATGAACTATCACGTCATCTTGATAAGTTACAACACCTTCAAGACCGTCAGTAATTGAATTAATCACATCTTGAAATACAGCAGGAGAGACATTAAGTCCGAATGGCAAGAAATTATACCGATATAATCCAAATGGTGTATTGATGACTGTGCATTCACTAGTAGCATCATCAAGTGGTATCTGCAAGTATGCATCCTTCAAGTCTATTTTTGAAAAGATTTTTGATCCCGCTAGACGATACAACACATCTTCAGGTTCTTCTGTAGCACACGAGCGTTGAAGTAGGCTTTTGTTGAGTGTCAATCGATAATCGCCACAAATTCTAACAGTTTTACCATCAGACTTTAATGGCGTAACAATCGGCGTAGCCCATTTGGAAGACTCGACAGGTGTCAGAATACCTTTTTGGCACAATGAATCTAGAGCTAGACGCACTGGTTCACGCAAACCAAAAGGTACTATACGTCGTTTGAGGAAAATCGGATCACCAGAAACCTCGAGTTTCACTTTTGGTATGCGCATTCCTCCGGTGACTTTGGAGCAGCTCGTGATCAGTTGTTTCAATTCGGTTTCGTTGAAATTTGAAGTAAGTAGTGAAATGTTAACGTTAAGCGCACGTAAAACTTTGAGACCAATTATTGAAGGACCAGAATTCGATACAAGAAAATTACAATCAACAAAGTTACCACTGGAAACTTTGACTGGTATAGTACATGAACCAAGAAGCGGTAAAGCATGTCCAGTGATACCTCTAACAGATAATTGTGTCGGTTTTAAAACAGCAGTAGGATAAAATGCTATAAGATCTGACTCAGGAATAATGGATTCGACGCTGCCAGTATCAATGATAAAACTATGCTTTTTACCAGAGCCTGATATGAGCGTCTTCGACACATGCATAGAATTCGATAAAACAGATAAAGACATGGATGAGATGTTATCAGTCAAAGGCTTGATATCAGAATTTGAGTCGACAGTCAGTCTACAAACTCTTTTGGACTTACATACATTCTGAATATGCCCAATCTTACCACATGAAAAACATTTTGATTGGCGATGTATGCAAGTATATCTGGAGTGGTCCTGTCCACACGAAGCACATTTGCCAAGAACTTTTTTTGGTTGGCGTATTTGACGATTTTGAATGTTCGAATTCAGTTGGTTGTTTTTGTTATGATAACGCATATTGGTTTCAAATTTACCGTGTGGGCGACCTTCCAGCCCTTTCGACTTTAGTGCATTAAATAAAACGGTCTCGTTGCATTTGGTTACTTCTTTAACATCCTGGTATTGCTCGCAAATTTTTCTGATCGATATGAAGCGTTGATCAGTCTGTACTAGGAGCTTTTGTTGTAGATCTGGAAGATTAATTCCGGCAATGAGGCGATCACTCAGTTGGCTTTCAAGTTGTTGGCCGTAGTCACATTTTGCAGCCTGTGTTTGCAGTTGGAGGACAAAATCACGAATACTCTGAGATTCGGATCGAATAAGCGAATTGAATTTCGCTCGTTCTGCGGCCACAAAATTGATAGGCTTAAAATGACTGAGAATTAACTTCTTTAGAACATCGAATGTGCAATCGATCGGCGCCGTAGGGAATGATAAATTCTTCACAAGAGCATAAGCATCCTTCCCAATATAGTGCAGGAAATAAGCTGTCTTCTTTTTATCAATCCGATCCGATCTAATAAGACACCAAATGCTGAAGCGTTCCAAATAATCCTCCATCTTCTGTGCAGTTGAATTTACACTGAGCGATTTCAGATAACAACTAAACAGAATGAATAGAATGGAGTCAATTTTCAACACAGTGTGACAACGTCTATCTCTGTATATTACGCACCGCTACATGATGATTGTTATTGCCACCTCGACAAGGGGTATCGCCCTTGCGTACACAAGGCTGAAGAGCATAATCCGCCAGGAATCTGAACCCC